TGTCACTCCAGGAGTTTGAAAAGCAAATTAGTAGCAACCGGGTTGGGGGAGGAGGAGGAGCAAGTGTGGGTTTTTAATTGGCTTAGAGTACACATAACACCGAAACGGCGTTTGGAGAAATATGAACCCATAAAACGTGCTGCTGGGCTAGCAGGTTCATATGGTTAAATGCACAATTATGGTTACCTACCAAATTTGGAGAAAGTTTTTTTTTTTTTTACGGATTATGACAAGGTATAAACTGTGCCACCTTTTTACATACTATGCAAGTAACTAACATATGAAATGATTGACAAAAAGGTTCTGGAAACTAGTTTCACTACCTAACTCTGCTTGAAAAATCATGTTGCTAACTCAGTCCTTTTTCTTCACTGAAGTTGACGTGGATGGACATCAAAATTGTTGCTTTTTGAAGCTGATTTGCAGCAGTTCGGCACGGGAAAAGGGAACTTCATAAAAAAAAGCGCAATATGCGCAGCTGTCTCACCCCTGCTGAAACACTTTTATTTAAGTCCACGAAGGAAATATCCGATGTTTCTGTTGAGGTTTCTCAGCCTCTTGTCAACTGAGAGCATTGTGTTGGGATGCGTCTTCACGAAGTGGTAAAAGGCCACTGCACGAAAAATGCAACAGAAACCAAGCAGCCACATTAGAGTGCAGCCAGCCAAAAGAGCCGACATGTACAGTGCCGTCCACTTTTGAAGAGAACACTCTGATAAGCACCTGTCATATTTCGGGCCTCATAAGTGCCAGTAGATGCAGAAACATTGTCCGTGCTCTGCACTAGTCTATGAAACGGAGTCAGCAGAATCAACCAGCAGTAGTCTTATGCAAATCCTAGCCACTATGCTTTTGCCAGAGAGCGAAATTTTGACATGGTGCACACTAGATTGTTCCCTTTAACTATGAACCCATCTGTACAATGGGTGCCAGTAAGATGCAAGACACCAAAATAGCGAAATACTTTCACTAGGCACTTTTCCTTAATGAACAAACTTAATGACCTCATGAAAGTTATTACAACAGAAGCCTAAATGAATCGTGCAACACTTCTGAGGCACGATGAGAAAATGCTGCTGACTGATAGTCAAGGCTTCTGTAAACATAATACAGCTAGGAGTTTGCTATAAGGGATATTCATAACACTTGGTGCTCTGGCAACACTGGGCGTGTCGGCCATTTTTTGTAGGCTGCCATCGCAGAATCGTTCGATAGCATCTCCATAAGGACAGGTCACGAAGAGGTTGAGCCACAGTTGGCAGAACTTTCGTACCGAGGAAATACGGCCATTCGTTTCGTCATCCAGTGCCTAACGGTGAGTGAACCTCTGGCTGTGCTGCCACAAGTCGATGAGAACGCAGCATCGGAGCTCTGCTCGCTTCAAAACTCATTCCAAAGACAGCTGCACGAGGCATATCACTTTGCGAAGTAAGACTGTTGTTTTCCATTGACGTCTGCTTATGATCTGAGATAGGCGTTCAAGAAAATTGTTCACTGCAGTGGAGCTGTGACTTTCAAGCGTCTAAGGTAACCTGGCAGAAAAATACACCACCATGATGTATCGTACTGCAATTATAAACACGTGTCATATCTGGAAATCACATTGTTTCTGAACAACATGTACATTGCTGTGCTGCTTTCCTTGACTAATTTTGATGGCTGCGCAAGAAAAAAGAGGCCTGTTTTGTCAGCGTTCTAAATGTAATGAAGCTTGTTTCCCTCAATTAAAGCAGATAGTGTGACTTCCAATCATTGACTTTCCACGTTCACATTTGCCGCTTCTCTGCTTACCGTCTTGTAAGCTATGCTATGCCTCTTGCGGAAACGGTCAATCGAGCCACTTGACACCGCAAAGTCAGCTATGCACAGTCTGTCAACTATTTCCATCGCCTCCTCAGGTAAAATGCTGCCATCAAAGTTAATATTGGCCGCGTGAACTTGATTGAACCAGGTGAGAAGAGCATCGTCGAGGTTCCCCTGCTTGACGCCACGAGCATGCTTGGCTTTGGAGCCGGAGAGAGCGGCGTTCCCTTCAATGTCGGCACGCCTGGAGATGATGCTGTTTAGCACTGACAGTGGCAGTCCAAGGTCTTTGGCAATGTCGACCACTTTTCGGGCTGGCTGCTTGTCGATTGCTGCAAGTGCATCCAGCTTTCCCTCAACGGAAAGCGCTTTCCACTTACGTTACGCCATATAGGTTTAACAAAGATTGCACTGACAAGTTCAACCATATAACAAGGTTAGCATGCAAAACAGTAATTGAAGATGAGTCACAAACATGCAGAGGTGGTTTGATGTGAAGACTGACTGTCACGCACTTCCAGCATTCCGTAGTGAAACTTTCGTTGTAAGCACACGGATTATGGTGATAGCACTTTTTACAAATGGCCTTATAGGGGCGGCCTGTCCAACTTGACTGCAGCTTCTTGCAGCATGTTCCGTAGCCAAGCCAGGTCAAGACTGTAAAACGCCAAATGAAAATGGCGGTGCCCGGGCAGCTTCAACGAACTAGGTTGCGATGCATCATGCAGAAACGGGCTCACAATTGCAATGTAACGGCAGGGTTCACAATACATGGGATTCTATGGGAGGTATGCTAAGACTGATGAAAAACAATGTAACAGCCGAGAAAACGCAGCAGTGAGAAGCGTAACAGTGGGGTTCTACTCACTGTACATTGTTTTCCCCCGAGAGTGCCGATTCCTTGACTTAAAAGTGGTGGCGATGTCTTTGGTTGTGAGCAAAAAAGCAACCTTAGCTGCGAGTGAAAATTCGAGGTAGATGAAATAAAATGGGAGCCGGAGGATGTTTGCGCTTCGGCTTTCCTTGCGACACACTTAAGGTTTCTACCAAGAAACGAAACTCGAAGGCAGGCTAGCTATTGGGAAGACGAGAGTGTGTGTCCGTGTGAGCATGCGTGTCTCGATGTGTGCGTCCATGCGGACGCCGCTATTACGACCAACTCCCCAAGGCAAAGCTGAAAGGTCCCAGTACTTCTTTTCAGACTACTTGGTTCATACTTGAAAACTCGACAATTAACAGTTGTTAGTCAGCGCTCTTTCCCGTCTCCCTTCTCATTTTCCTTCAGCTTGCGCCGCAAGTCGAGTTTTCTTAAGGGGACCCTACTATTTTGAGACGATGAGAGCACCCGAGAAATAAAACAATGCACCACTCGTCATGAGAAACTTCAGTTGCTAGTCAACGGTTTCTGCATAGTAACACAGGGTTGTCTGCATGGTTCAGGTGGACTGAAAATTCGAGCCAGTTCACAATGCAATAGCACCACCTTAGTTGAGTTTCCCTAGAATGTTCCCCTAGTCAGCGAACGTGGGTGGGTCCTCGGACAGTCTGCAAACAATCGGAAATTTAAACAAATGGAAACACCCGTAGTCGCACGCCTTGACGTCAGACTCGTGCGGCAGCCTGCTCACACGTTTTGAACTTGTGGTTCTGATAAACGCAGTGGTTACATTGCGGTACTGCTTATGGTGCAAGCGATGTATACTGCACAGCAGAAAACAACCATGACAAGAGAACAGGGCAAGTGCAGTTCACTTGTCATTCTTTGCTTTGTACCGTGCAGTACAGATTGATCATGAGTCACCAACTGGCCCAATCGTCCACTTTGTATTGAGCCAAATATCCACGACTCTGGTGCGACATACACCCTAAGCAGTCTCAAGGGTTGAAATTGAGTTGGAGCATCAGAACCATTTTGATTCGTCCACATGCACTTTAGCGCTATTCACATGGGGGATGAATCCTTTGGGGAGAAGCGAGGACTGCGGATCATGTGAAAAGAGACATCACGGATTAGCAAGTAGGCGCGACCTCGCCACCTTTTCTAGAGGAAACGGGGACTTTTTGACTGACAGGACGAACGATTGCCTGCGGTGAGGGATATACAGTCGATCCAGGATTTACCGAACCAGGATATATCGAATTATTGTATATACCGAAGAGCCTGACATCCCCTTGGAAATCCCATGCAAAAGTATAGCGCTGTGTTATACGCGTGTATCGAACTCCCGGCCACCGCCACATGCGATAGTTCGAACACTCCCGCGCGTCAAGCGCCGCTGCAAGAGCGCTTCCTCGCTCTTCCTGGGAAGGTTCCGGCGACGAGTTCTCATGCGCGCTCCTGCGCTCAGTGAGAGAGAGGCTCCGTCGCGTCGCTAGAGTGACCTTGGACGCCTCAGCCGCGTGGTAAAGAACGCGGGCGAGAGATTGCAGGCGAGAGACAGTTGAGGAGGAAAGAAAATCCAGTTTCTGCACGCTTGAGCCTGTTTGCTTGAGCGGCGAAGTGGTCCGCTCTCGCCGTTTGGCCAGTGGCAGTGGTTGCTCTGTCGGGAAACTCGTGAAGTGTGGTGCATGTTGGTTTTGTTTTTGCGGCACCGGGTCACGCGTTTCGGAGCCATGGACGCAAAAAACGTAAAAAGTTGGATTTCTCAACGAACGCAGATATTCAACGGGTGGAGGCCGGCGAAAAGAAGTCGTCGATTGCCAAGGAATTCGGAATTCCTCGGAGCACCTTAAGCACAATACTGCACCACAAAGCTGATGTGAAGGCAAAGGCAGCGCAGTGCGGCTGTTCTGGAGCGTGTCCCGTGTGTGCACCGGAATACGATAAGGTTGAGAAAGCCCTGTACGCCTGGTTCTTGGAGACTCGGGCAAAAAACATTCCTGTTGATAGCCCAATGCTCATGGAAAAGGCAAGGTGGTTTACAACCGCTCCAGGTGAAGACAACTTCACTGGTGGCACAGGATGGCAGCAACGCTTTAAAAATCGCTACGGCATCGTCAGGAAGACCCTCTAGTGTAAAAGCGGGGCAACCAGCTGCAACAACAGCACTGAGAAGTGGCTGTCCGACGAATGGCCAGACATTTGCAACAGCTTTTCGCCGTCGCAAATATTTAATGCCGACGAAACTGCCCTGTTTTGGCAGATGCTGCCAAGCAAGACGTTGCACTTCAAGGGCAGCAAATGCCATGGCGGAAAAATGAGCAAGGTGCACATCTCCATTTTGCTCCCTGCAAATATGGACGGCTCGTGCAAACTTCAGCCATTCGTTATCGGCAAGAGCAGATCGCCACGCTGCTTCAAGAACGCAAGAGGTCTCTCGATGCGCTACGCATCCAACAAAAAAACGTGGATGACACGCGATCTGTTCACGGTGTGGCTCCGGGCATGGGATACCGAGCTGGAGAAGTCCGGCCGCCAAGTCTGTCTCCTTCTCGACAATTGTTCGGCCTACCACGCTACCATCCCACTGAAAAACATCACCGTGAAATTTTTGCCGGCCTACACTACGGCGAAGCTGCAGCCTCTCGACCAAAGCATTATCAAAGCCTTCAAGGTTGGGTACAGGCGACGACTGGTGCAGAGGCTCCTGATGAACCTTCGTTTGGGAATCGAACTCAAAGTTGACCTTCTTGGAGCTACACAGATGCTGACAGGCGCTTGGAACGACGTGAAACAAACCACAGTCGTAAACTGCTTCCGCAAAGCGGGCTGTGTGGTGACTCCTGACGAGACGTGTTCGGACATCGAAGACGACGGCGTTGAGTGTTTCGACGGTGAATTTCAGGCGCTGGCGGCATTTCCAGGTGCCATCCAAGATGGCGCAACAGCGCGCGATTTTTTAAGTGCTGACGATGACGCGCAGGCTGTGGTGGATCTCAACGGTGCGGAGATCGTGGCGGACATAGCAATTGCCGCTGCCGAAGAAGCGGCAACAAGCGACTCCGATGAAGATATCCACCCGCCTACTGCAGCTGAGCTTGCGTCGGCGTTCAGCATGATTCGCCACTGTTGCCGCGCAATGGAAGGCGCCGGACTTTCGCATTTGGACAGCGTCAGCAAACTTGAAGACAGTTTAATGAACTTCATGGCGCAAAAGAAGAAGCAGTCCAAGCTCACGGACTTTTTTCATGCCGAATAAAGGGCCGTGGTCATTGCGCTGTGTTCCGTATTTTCTGTGCTTTGGAGAACAAGCGGTTTGTAACAAGTGGTCACAAACCGCTTGTCACGATCTCTGAAAGCTCTCAGTGATGTGCGGAGTATTCATATTCAGGTAAGCTTCAGGTAGGCATATTTTATATTTCGAATTATCGATATATCGAACTATTTTACGATCCCCTTGGAGTTCGATATATCCGGGATCAACTGTACAAGAATTTCGGGCAGGTGTTTGGCCATATTACTGCACTTCTACTGGCAGACAGCAGCAGCAGCGCGCTGGTTGTTTCATCAAGCCCCCAGAGTAGCCTGGTAACACTAGTTTCCCTCTCCATTCGCCTTGTCCCCGGGAGCAGGGGACATTTGCGGGGAATCGTTCTCCCAGGTTGTAGTCACTAGGCTCTGCCTTTGTCGTCTGAGGATTTGTCCTCCGTGTAAAGTGGGAGACAAATCCTCTGGGGAGAAGCAAGGATTGAAGATTACGTAACGACATCCGGAAATAGCACCCACTCACTAATTTGTAATGTCCCACTTTTCTCCTGCAGATTTCTCACCCACATGAATTTCCTGTTACCTCCGTTATTATTCTCCACCGAGCCGAAACACTTACACTGCTAAGGCTGCATTCACTTACTTTGTATAGCATCGTGTTTCCGAGGGGACAGCGCAGGCTTGGCTTTTGCTCCCTGGTACATGAACCTCCGGCACACGGTTCCTGTGACACTTCGGTTCACCAGCTCTTCCCGTTTCCAGAGGCACCTCATCAATGATCTCGCAAACATGCCATCCTTACGGCACTCATTCAGCAAGACCCACTTTTCAGCAGTGATAAAAAAGCCATTGCCAATGTGGACCTGTAAAAAAACACATACAACTACTCTAACTCCCTTAAATTCAAAAACAATGCATATGCTTGTGGAGAGAAAGAATTGCTAGGGGTTCTCAATTGGTTACGTAACCTGGGATGACTAGGCAGTGAGTGGTGTTCCCTTCGGTCCGCAAAACAATTTAGGCATGAGACTAAAGTCAGTCAGTTTATTTTTCTTAAAGACCCTCGGTGAGGGTATCAAATAGAGGGTGGGATAACCAGCATCAACGTGCAAATAGAGTAGTCTGTACATATCTCACAATTATACACATATCTTCACGTTTAACAAACTGTGATCATTAGGCTTGTGTGAATAGTGAATTTAAGGATCGAAGCAAATTCAAAGCAAATATAGATTTGGGTTGCATAATTTCGATTCGTATTCAAATAGCATATATCACATTTTATTCAAAAAATGAGCCTATTTGTCATGGCCTATTAACCTGTTAAATAACTTTTAAGTTTGAAACAAAGCCTGTGCAAGTGCCATTATTTTTTGGTTCATAAGAAGAAAGAAGTGGAAACAACTTTACATAGTCGCAGATTTTACGTCCCCAGGATTCCGGCCCCCGAGCAGGAGGCGCGCTTTCCCGCACGTTGGGGGCGGGGCCCCGCCTCACTCTATGGGACAGGAGAGCAAAACGATGATAACTCCTCTCCCTTTCTGATTTTCTCATTGCTTTCACACTTTCAAGTAGCAACTGTATGAACCTTTCTTCGGCTGGAGTTACAGTATCGTAGTTGCAATAGTGCGAGTTCCCTAGCTTATTAAAAGAAAATGCACAGCGCCTATAGGTGCTCTCAGAAATATTAGCTGCTTTACCGCATTTGAATCGCTGCCCCGGAGACGGGCTTAAAGATATCCAATTGCTTTCTGGGATTTAGGTACTGGCATATGTTTAGTTTACGATGGTATAGAGCGTGTTTGAATCGCGTGGTAAAAAAAAAGTTCCCTGGCCAGTTTTGTTCAGGGTGCGACAGCCGTCAAGCCCTTGTAGCTCCATCTAGCGTTGAGATGGTGTACCCTACAGTGCCACGTAAATATAAAATAGGGTGCGCGTAAAAAGAGAGAATTCTTATGGAAGGCACATTCATGACCCCGTGAAACTATATTTAGGGTTCCTTGAGGTAAAGATCGATAGTATAGCACATCAACGGGGTATTTTGAAAAAAAAAAAAAAAAAAAGACGAAGTGCGTGTTTCCAAACATTCAGTGTATGTACCACATAGACCCCTGAATTAACAGCACATTCTCGAGTTTTACAGCTTACATGGTAATTACAGTTATCTACCGATTGGTTAAGTGCTAATTAACTAACACATCCCTGGTCAGGCTTTGAAATTGTGAGTAATATTCACCGGGCGCAATAATATGAGTGGTGGTATGAACTCGCCGTCCGCGTCGCTTAAATCCGGCATATCTCAGGGATCCGTCCTCGGGTCTCTTTTCTTTCCGGTTTATATCAATAATTCCACCCGTGATACCCAGCAAATCTAAAGCTTTTTGCAGATGCCTGCGTGCTTTAAAGTAGTGAACGCTTCCAGCGACCAGGTTCTTTTAAATAATTATTCATCTAAGATTCAACATTGGGGCACAAAATGACAGATGACCTTTAACGCGAGAAAAACTTTGGCGATGACCATAACCCACAAAAAAGGTCCATCAAAATATCAATACAACCTCGGCAATCAATTCTTGTCCTTTGTCTCACAGTATACGCACCTTGGTTTTGTCATCACATCTGATTTAAGATGGAACAAACATGAGTCTTATACTGAGAAAAAGGCTTTGAAAATACTAGGCTACCTAAGATGGGCACTCGCTAAGGCATGCAGTGAACCTAAAGGATCTCATGTGAAACGTACAGTAATACCAATACTAGAAAATTCATCGGCTGTCTAGGACGCGCACACGCAAGCTAACACAGATAATATTGAATCAGTACAGCGAAAAGCTGTGAAAGTCATTTTCAATGCCCAAAAGTAAGACATATCCGTCAGTTCTTCTGGAAAGCGCTAAACTGGAGACCCTGGAATGGAGACGTTATCACGAAATAAGGAAGCTGTTCTATCTCATATATAATAATAAGCTGGCAAAAGAAAAACTAATTATATCGAACCAATCTGGCACCACAAAACACGTGTTCCAGTCTTGAAAGAGTGACTGAGCCCCTATATACAGGTACGATTTTTTTCCCGAACAAGCGAAGAGTGGAAGAATTTGCCACCAAAGGTTCTTGAAACTGTCGATCTCAACTAGTTTCATCGTGCATTAGCTCTTTCACATGGCTCATAACTACACCTTCATATATATTACAGTGCTCTTCATTTTAATACCTGTCTTGATCAGACTGATTGCTTGAGGTTCAAAGCCTCGCTTCTGCACGATTCTTCAATGCTTCGATTCTGCAAAGTCTCGCTTTTTAACATTGTCGGCTTTATTTTTCCTACAATTGGTATTTGAGTTCTTTTTACTTTTTACCCAAACAACATGACCTAGTGGGCACTGTTTTTATAGTTTTTGTTTTGTGCTTGGGACCGTGGACCGTATTTTGTCATTTCTTTTTTTTTTTTTAATCATCGCGCTTTCGTTCAAAACTATATCTACTGCTGTAACTCCTACACATTGTTGCGTCCACTGCACCACACACCCCTGCCCAAAGGCCGGCACTTGACTAGCAGTTTTTCTCTAAAATACATAACAAATCTAGAATAAATAAATCCACTTACTCTTTTTCATTATGCGACTCTCCAACTTTAACGATTTAAATTTTAAAAATGTTCATGGAAGTGAGTTAAAAGAAACAAATATAATGCTGAAAGGCAGGGAGGTTAAATTTTTTAGGAACAAATAACCCTATTTGCACTGTGTAATGTCCACGGTAGCTGGAATAACAAGCGTCCGTAACAGGAAACTGAGTTTATTACTTTCAAGAAAAGCATTTGTGCGCAGCATAGTCCAAATGGTCCAAGTGCTGGCTTTCCAGTCCGCTGTGGGCCATAAAAGGGATGAGGAGTACAAAGGAGAGGCAGCCAGTGCGTGGGCCCACTTATTGCCCCAACAGTATCATGGGGGGAGGTCAGGTGGAGGGCAGGGCACATCCCTGCAGCTGGCTGGAAGCGGGAATGCACGGTCTAAAGCCCCTCCATGCGTTTTTCGGTAGAAGACGCGATGGAGGGGCCTTAGCTTCAACAAGCCAAAATCTCCTGCCATATTTTTTTTACGATGGGCGCCGTTCATTCGGGCGTTCCATGAAACTGGCGGGCGACCACTGGTTGTCCTTTGTGGAGTTGCCGGCAACGCGAGGCGTCTTCCTTATGTGGTGTGACCTTTCAAGACGGTTCTGGCAGGATGGCTGAGATGTGCATTCGCAGCTCGCAAGAAAACATGATATACTCCGGTACCTGGCCCGTCTGGCTCATTGCAAGTTGCTTGAAAAAAAAAAAAAAAAGCATGCAATGGCCTCTGTAATGACCCCGCACTTGCAAGAGCACGTTTTAGCTCTACCACGTAGCGTTTGGCCTGTTCGTTTGTGGCTGGGTGGTTCGGACCAGATTTCCCCACTGTGATGCAGTTGTCACTCGTAGGGTTTCTGTATTTTGGCTGACACGAATGCGATTCCGTTGTTTGAAACCACCTTGTGGGGTAATTCGAAAGTTTTGAACAACAAGCGCAGGAAATCGATGGCATCTGTCGATGTTGTTTTGTTCACTTGGTGAATTTCAACCCATTTACTGTAGGCATCCGGAATTACCAAGAATGTGTGCCAAGGTGTGCTCGGTCTGCCCTAGTCCAGTGCTGGAGCTCAAGTCGGAGCGCGATCATTTAAGTGGCGGGCTGTGCACTCTGCAGCTATCTCGGTGCCCTTGCCGATTCCTGGCCACCACATGTAGCTGCGGGCGCACTTCATTGTGATCACGCCTCGGTGTCCGCCATGAATGAGAGCCATTGCTCGTTGTCGAAGTGGCCCATGAATGACAACTCGTGATCCCAATTTGATACAACCACGATGATAGTTGAACTCCATTTCTTTTTTGTTAAAAGCATTGAAGTTCTCATTCTTGAAGTTTTCAACTCTGTCCTCCATCAGGGCGTTGTACAGCTTGAACAATGT